ACCAGCAAAGCCACCCGGATGTGCCGACAAATCCCGATAGGAGCTGCACATATCTCGTTCTCAGGGCACATCGGATTGTCCAAACTTCTGGTAGGCCAACCCAGAGTTGCCCCTAGTGGCCACCGGCGGCTGACAGGTTGGACCAACACTCAGAGGAGCACTGGCCTGGGGGTTTAAAATAAAGATGGCCCTTGAGTTTGCAGAACCCAAGGGAAAAAGGCTTAGGTGGCAAATGGTAAAATCAAGGTTGGGCCTTGCTGGAGGAGTTTTATTCAAAGCGAACTGTCAAGGGGTTCCCATTATAACCCAATCGCGTAAGGAACGCAAAATCAAGGAACATAACACCGGTGTGACAGAAACTAGGGCGGCAAGAGTGGAACAAAACACCAGGCATAAGGCCGAGCCTTCCACCCTTTACCAAGTGTATAGATGCATTAATGTAAACAAGATATAATAATAATGATATCCCAAACGATAATCATGTTCCAACAAGGAACAAACTTCATCTTCACCTGCAACTAGCAACGCTATAAAAGGGGCTAAGCAAAGCGGTAACATAGCCAAACAACGGTTTGCTGGGAAAGGTGGGTTAGAGGCTTGACATGGAAATATGGGAGGCATGATATAGCAAGTGGTAGGTATCGCGGCATAGCAATAGAGCGAGAAACTAGCAAGCAAAGATAGAAGTGATTTCGAGGGTATGTTCATCTTGCCTGAGATCCCGCAAGGAAGAAGAACGAGTCCATGAAGAAGACAAACAGACGAAGTCGAACGGATCCTCACAACTCCGGAACGGAACCGAAGCTAACGAGAGAAGCAACCCGGAAAGAAACAAGCAACATAGTAAACAACCAACACATAAGCATGGCATGCTGCACAACCAAGTATGATGCATGTCCGGTTTAAAGAGGCATGGCATGGCAAAGTGCAACAAATAAAACTACAAATTAAGTGGAGCTCAATATGCAACGAGTCGCATATTGACAAAACACCACACGACTTATTTAGTTCTCTCTCGTTCAGGTACCCCACAATATTAAATGTTGGTTAGCATGGCAAGAGGTGAAGCATAAGTAAACTAACTATCTAGTCAAATTTAAATGAGGCCGGAAATAACAAACAACAAGTCCGGAAACTCCTCATGTGCATATCTTTGGTTATGGTATTGTTCTGTCCTAAAGCATATTTTAGAGTTATTAAACATGCGAAGTAAAGCCGCCATGTTAAACTAGGCATTTTTCAACCCCATTTACATATAAAGATTATTTAAAACCGAGCTACGGTTATTTAGTTATGAAATAAAGCATTTTAGCATGGCATTAGGTAAGTTATAAGCAAACATCATTTTAAACATTTTTAACATGGATGAAAGTTGGAAATTATTAATCTACACAAAATCCTAAGAAAGTTTCATATATAATTTATTTTTAAACCGATGCACGGTTCTGAAGTTATTATATGCATGAACATGGAGGGGTTTTCTGAAAAAACTGCACTCCCTGGAATAATAGCTAAATCGCAGAGGCAGGAAAAAAGGATATGGGCCGAATCTGAGATCTGAACCAACTGCGGGAAAAAAAGAAAAGGAAAAAAAGGAGGGCGCACGGGGGTGGCCTCACCATGGGCCTCGGCGCGGCTGGTGGAGAGGCCCCGCAGGCCTGGCACGGCCTTGGCGCTGCTGGGCTGATGTGTGTGAAGGCGAGCGGTGGCCCAGCATGCTGGCGGCACGGTCAACGCGGGCGCTCCTGTTCGTTGCTGCTCCAACGAAAACAGAGGAGCGGCGCTGGAACAGGAGTGCGGCGGCGAGGAAGAGACGACGAAGGGGCGCGGCTCCAGGCGCAGGACGGCGGCCTCCGGCGATGGGACGATGGCGGACTTGGCGCAGGAGGTCCACACTACGGCAAGGGGAGGCGTGTGAGAGGAGGCGATGCAAGCCAGCGGCAACACTGCTCGATGCAGGGCAGCAGGGCGTTCGGCGCAGGCAGGGCAGTAGAACTCCGACGAGCGGGGCAAAGGGGCGGCGAGGCGAGGGACTTGGCGCGGGCTTCGGCAGGGATGCAGAATCAAGCTCGGTCAACGGGAGCAGGACAGGGCGCGGCGTCTCCAGGCGATGTAGGCGCGGCGGTGACAAGTCTTGGCGAAGACGCAGGCAGCGGCGGAGCTGGAGCGAGGGAGACGCATCCATGGCGAGTCAGGTGCGCAGAAGACGCGGATTCGGCCAAATCCGGGCGGCGGCGGTTCCTTGCTGTGGCAAGTACAGGGAGAGAGAGAGTGTTAGGGAAGGGAGAGAGAAAGGGAAGGAGAGGAGCGGGACGAGGCCGGCCCTGGACGTTGTTGCCGACGGCGGGGTCGCCGGAGGGCGCGGCCTGCGGGTTGGTCGCCGGCTCAGGCAGAAGAGCCCGCCGGCTCGCGCGAGGGTTGTGGACACGGGGCGGCCCGGCCTCGGGAACCAGAGGAGGCGCACAGGGAGGAGCTGCTGGAGGACGAGGAGGTGGCACACGAGGTGAAGCTCAAGGCGCTCGTCGATGCGCGGCTGGACTGCGGAGAAGATCAGTGGAAGGCGCTGGTTGGGTGGATCGCGTCGTGGTTGGGCAGATTGGTGGATCTAGAGGGATCCCGAGGAAGGAGAGGACTGGCGGCGGGGGTGAGGGGATTTGTTGGATGGGACAAGGCTCCTAAATTTTAGGGTTTTGTCTGGTTATATAGGTAGGGGATTATATGTTAGACTATTTGGTCCCTCCGATAAAAATCGGACGGTCCGAGATGAATAGGTTAGGTAGCCCAAATAACAAAACAAAGATATTTTGTAGATGTTTGGGGATGATTCGGACCCAACGGTGACGACTGCCCGGGTCGGGTCCGGGGCAGCTTTCGGACGCGCGCGCGAGGAGGGTCCGATGCACTGTGCAAAGAGGGGTAGGCATGGGCCTAGGTGGACTGTGGAGAGCGGGTTGGTCTGAGAGAAGAGGGGAGAGATGCGGTCTGGCACGATTTCCGGAGACCGAAAACGTCCGACGAAAAGACCGGCTATACTGCCGTTATAGTTATCCGTTGGGGCATCAAACAGACTCCAAATGCGATGAAACTTGACATGCGGTCTATCTACACTATAATAAGACCACGCGCCAACTTTCATCCCATTCCGAGAATATTTTCCAACCACTTACAAAATAATATTTCGAACGTGTCGCGGGCGCGTGCAAGTGTGTCTGGGCTCAGAACGGACAACGGACGAAACCGGAGAACCCGGACGGATGCAAGTTTCGAAAACATGATGATGCAATGCACATGATGACATGACAAGATGCAACATGCAAGCGAATGATAAGGCAAAAACAACGAATAACTGGAAGACACCTGGCACATCGGTCTCGGGGCGTCACACCCAGAGAAGTTAAGTGATGCCATAGGAACCCAAAAGGAAGGCACAATCCCAAACATGGTGAAATACTGCTCACAAAGGGTTTTCCACACATTAGGATTTTCGCTGGAAAACAGTGGAAACGAAATGGATGGATGCGCTTGACCAAGGCTCGTGAGCATTTGGCTAGCATGGGAAACAGGGACAGTGGAGCAGGAGTAATGGGAGTTGTGGTCGTACCATTTACCGAAAGTGGAGGTGGCGGCGCGAGGGACGCCGCCGGTGGCTCTTGTTGAATATGGAATTCACCGTGGTCATCGGGCCCTTGAGGGTTGATCGCTATGCCGGCGCCCTCATGCACCGGATCCGTGTTTGTCCTCTTTGGTGGAGGCACCTGCGCCAGTTGCAGCGCCATGACAGCATTGCCCAGATCTGCCATGCGACGCTCGAGATCGGGGCGCCACGCGAGCAGGTCGTTCATCTTCGTCGCCATGGACTGTTGCGCCTTGGTGAGGCCGTCGACGGCGGCCTCGATCTTCGTCTCGAAGCGGGTGGGGAAGGCGGAGACGCTGGGATCCATGGCCTCGCGTGCTTGCCGAAGGCCTCGCGTCTCGATGAGATGCGCCAGTGCGGAGCGGGGAGAAGTGGTGGCTGGTGTCTCTGATACCAGATGATAGGGACTCGGTTATATTCTATGGATCAATGGCAATATCTCTTTCGATTACAAGATGAGCAGCTATTACAGAATTGGTAGAGGATGAACTAGGGTTCGTTCGCGGGAGGAAAAGCGGAATTGTGAGGTAGGTGGCCGCCTGGTGCCGTTGCTGTGATTCTCTGGATCACCATGATGCCTTCGTGCTTCTCCCTTGAAGTAGTCGTGTTGTGTGGGCTTTAGTTGATCCACTCTGGCCCACGGACGCGCTGGTGTTGGGCTGCTTGGTCCTGATGGGCCACTGGGCAGTTGAGGTGTCGCTGTGGGTGCTGCCCAGTGGG